TTTTTAAATAAAATATAGCCGATCGAACACGATTTCGTTATTGATTCATAAAATTATTCGTTGTTTATTATCATATTTAAATGATCTAAGGAGTTAATTTGTTTTGAAATGATGAATGGTATTAATTTGCCTTTTTAAATGGTTGGAAGTAATTGCGAGCTCGAAGTTCGTTTTCTCGACCTTCGAATTCTATTTTGAGATTTTTTTTCAGAAAACAGGATATATGTTATGTTTTTAAATAAGCAGAAGTAAAGGTTCTGCTTTTAACAACAGTAAATGTGTGATGGCGGCTATATATTAGTTATAAAATAAATTAAATCACTTTAAAAATTGTAACAAATAGTAATGACAAGTCTTAATTTCCTTTTTTTTCCGTCTTCCGTCTTATTCCTTTTTTTTACAAAAAATATATTTATATTTGCGTCATTGTTTGTAAATAAATTTAAAATTATTATAATTAAGAAAGAGCTGTAGAGTTGAAATAAAAATCATGAATTTTTATTTACATATAATTACGTTATTTACCAGAAAGATTACTTGACACTTGAGTTACCAATAACTTTTGTTTAACAGATAAATCCATTATTCTGGTTCAGAATTTATCTGTTAAACAAAAATGTATTAATCGATTTCATTTCATTATAATTAGGTTATTACAAGTTGCATATTTATAATGAGATGGCAAGAATAAAATTTATTCTTGCATGTTTTATAAATATTAAAAAACATCACACAACTTCATTGTTCAAACTCCAAGAGAAGTGGCGAAAGCTAAAGAAATTCTTAATAAACGTTACAATTAACTAAATGCGAGGGCATTGCAGTGCAGTATTCTAAGAATCTGAGGTTGACGTTTATTTTTTCTGTTGATTTTATTCTTATATGGATCAGTATATAAGAATGTTGCTTTAACTTCCTATATTATTTGTACTCATAATATTATCATTGTTACCAATAATTATTTTAAATAATATATCTCATACGATTGTGTAAAATAGTCCATTAGGTTTAATGACAACTTTAAGCTATAACAAATGTCCTATTTTTTTTAAATTTGTATCGGTAATATAGATTTAATCTAATGACAATTTTAATGAACGTTTGTGCAACTGGGTGTATGAGGAATATGACTTAAACTATATTTAATGTTTAAAAAGATAAGGTCTTTAATTGAACTATTTATGTATACATACATATATAGGAAGTTAAAGTAACGTAATTATTCAAATAAGCACAGAAAAAAAATAAAAAAAATCTAAAATCAACCCCAGATTCCTGGAGTACTGCTCGCAAAAGCAGCCAACACAATAGTTACAGACAGACCTCTTCATATCAACGCAACTTAACATACTTATTGAGTTCATGTCAACTTTAGTGTGTGATGTCATTCAACGGTCAGCCAACGGTTTTATTAGCAAAAAAATATTAAAAGGGAATCTTAGCGCCTTTTATCTGATTTTACGTCCATGTCAAATGTCAATTTTAAAATAGAGTTAGCCAAACGAGACCATATGCGGTGAACGCCTTGTCACTCAAAATTAGTCGAGCTTTTGAAATTAAAAAATCAATGATATTCAAAATCCATCCAACTGTTACTTGTGGAGTAACCGTTGATTCTTATTGTTTGAGTGTATTAATTTTACGGTCGATGTTTAAATAAAAAAAGTTTAAAGGATAATAGTTTGCTACAAAGAGGTAATCATTGAAGAAAGAGAATGATGGAAGTATCATAACACCCCTTTTATTTATGAACGGTATGCGATATAAAATGTTTTGTACAAAGTGTGGTCGTCTTTCAAGAATCTGAAGATGTGCGTCGGGGTTCGAGGGTACTATAAACTTATTTCAATTTATAGGTACGGCATCTATGCACTAACAATAATTGAATCCTCCCGTGTCTAATTATTAGTCGCCATTAAATTTATAGAATTACTCGAGCGCTACTAGTTACGAAGACAGGAGACATGACTTATTTAGTGCCCATGTTGCGTTTCCATCTTTAATCTGCGTGGGCGCATATTTCTGCGAAAACATTTCTTGTGCATCGTACATAATGCTGCCAAGAAAACAGAAGTAATAATGTTAGCCATACTTGTATGGCGAAGAAGTCCGTAAATGAATCATCGCATATGCGTTCTTCGTCTGAGTGCAAAAAGAGGTTTGTCGAAAATGCTTCTCGGCCCCGCTGGCTCCACTGTACTCATCCCTTATTTATTTATGGAATGAAGAATGTATGAAGAATGTACTGTTTTTGTGGTCCCATAACAGCGTGCGTCCTGTGCATCTACAAACCAAGACAGTGAATTCTTTAATTGACGAAATGTTACAATACCACATTCCATCTCGGATCGTTAGCTTTAATGTGGGAATACAAAATGGATTAATAATGAGTCATTTACTGTATTGCAAAATACAGGTAGTTAACATCATACTGTGAACTAATTCTTTAATTAATTGTCAATCAATAAACATAAATTTAATGGCCCTAAATGACTGAATCTTTTACGACTAAAAATAACTTTAGGTATATTTAATAGACATCCGGGTATATCCAATTCATTTAAGTTGATCTGGTATTAAGACGTGAACTGTGATCGAAACTAGTTTCTCTTATCAGTGATGATAAAACATGCGTAGATCGTTGCCACGCCCTGTACTTTCCCTGTGGTGCACCTGCCGGGTGAGCGAGGTGAGCCTGCGTAGCCAGTTCTGCGACCAACGCGTGATTCTGTATGTTCCACGGTCCGGCTTAAGTTTATGAATGTACCTTTATTGCATATGAGACGGGTTAAATAGGCTCGTTGGAAAGTTACCTTTGCGCTGACAATGTTAGTTTTATCAATCATGATATTGAATGGCACCATATCTAACTATCAACTGTCGTTTAGTCTAAGTTTAATAAAGATTATTAAATCGGTTCGGAGGGCGCGAGGCAACGACCGAGGATAAGCTCGGCAGGCGGCCGCTCAGCCCGCGAGACATGCGTTACGACACCTACACCAAATTTTTCCACATGCCCGAGCAGCAGATAAGCGGCGAGCGACGGCAACGTGTTATTTATTAACGAACCGAATGATCGATAGTTGGACGCGTCACCGGACTTGGATGTGCGTCGCCTTTCGAAATGCCGTCGCGCCGCATGTAACTCTGGACCTCCGATAAATTGCCCCTCAATCGATCGACCGCAGAACCGATTTTTGAAATATATTATGTAGGCGTTCGTCGTACCTATCGAACATTATTTTAAGAATGTATTTTCATCAATAAAAATTATGTTGTGTTGCTACGTTAATTCAACATGCTGATGTCTAATTATTGATAATAAGATTCATGAGATTAAAATAAACTTAACAAACAAGTAACATATATAAGGAAACAATAGTATCTCAAGTGCCCTTAAAATATTTTCACTTTTAATACTATCAGTATCATCAGTTTGTAGTAGTGTCATTGTAGTACGTAAATACGTAAGTTGTCTGAGAAACGATCGTGCATTGAATGGTCGTGACGAATGCTTTGTTTGTTTAGCGGAGACTCCTTCAACCCTTGCTCGGAGCCATCCGTTCCGCTCTAGCATACGTCACGTAGCGATCGTGACAGCTGCGCGTTACTTTCTAATCGCGCCATTCAATAGACAAACGCCAAACAAACAGACAAGGAGTAGGCAACTTGTGAAACTTTAAATGGCTCTAACAATTGACAGCAAAGAAAAGAGTAATCAATTAATTATTTATTGAGGTGCCACTCAACAAAGGCTGTGACAGTTTGTTGCATAACTCGATGCTCCAGATGCATGCGTTAGTGTCTCAAGTCTATCTGAGCAGAAGGACATAAATTTAATTATGGAAATGATTATGTACGCCAATAAGTTTTTCTAGATCTTATAAATTATTTTGTGTATCAAAATTTAATCTTACCTATTTTTATGAGTTAGTATGGATTTGGATAAAATAGTTTAAAATTTTTAAACGTTTTAGATAATGTAGTATTAGTGGCATTTGTTTCGTAGTCTTGCAATACGATGACGTTTTGTTTACACGTTAGATGAATGTAATATTTGCGATATATGTATCTGCTGTTTACGTATATCGTCTCGAGGCAAACACGCTAGGAAACGTATGGAATTTCGAGGTTCACCGACGCAGGGCAGGTTAGACCAGTCCCGGTGGCCTCACAAGGACCCAAGTAAACCTGTTAGATTCGTTGCACGATTTTTACGTGCGCACCTACCGGAATCTCATTCACGTGGTACGCTCGGCCCCTGTGCTACCAGTTAACTCGTCAAATGACTCACACTTCGGCTGGTTGGCCCGAAGCTGACTTTTCCAGTTCTTGGTCCTATTTGCACTTGACGTTCTCACATGATACTACCATGTTTGATTACATATATCTTGCGGGTTATTTTCTATCTCTAGAACCAAATTTTCCGGAAGAATACTTAATCACGTATGAAAGAAATAGTAGATTGAGACTAATACAAAATAATCTAAGTAATATTCTAATATAATCTGAGGGCACTTGTATGCCGCTACATTCATAATTTTAATGAGTCTCATTTCTTGCGGATCCTAATGACATGAGATGTACTTTTGTCACAATAGAAATAATGACCTCCCGAGATGACAACACACGACCAGGAACAGGAATCAGGTAAAACTACGATCCGGTCAAACCCGTCCGACGCGTGCTTCCAACATTTTTTATTTATTTGTCTGCATCGTCGGATACCGCTGAGTGTGACGTCAGACGACCTAAACTGGTTAGCGAGGGAGCAGGGATTTGCCTCGTATCCTTCCGGTTCTGCGAGTGGTTTGGACCTGTTCTACATCTGGTTGCTGGTGCCGGCAACCCGGTCACGTGACGTATGGCCGCCGGGCCGCGACCACGCGATCGACTACCCGAATTAGAGCGGTTCCGCCGCCCCCGCGCATCTAGCCTGCTTGCTCCGTGCCAATAACTGCTCATTTCACTCTCGAACCGGCCACCCGGTCTGCTGACTCATGCCACTGTGTGCGCAACAATTAGCAAACGTAGCGTCGTATTATGCGCCGACGACCGCTCTGTACCATCAAAGGTCAGTATCCGTACCAAAATGGTCACGCCTAATAACTGGTTCGTAACTTGTAGTCGACCCAGTCGTAAAACTACAGGCTTGGGATACCAGTATTTTACGTTATGTTTACTCGATTGATTCGATAGTGTGAATGAAAATGATCTTGCATTTTATCTGCGTTGCTCTGAGACATTAGTACGAATCGTATTTTATTGATGTTTAGTTGCTATGCCATCGGTGGTTTATAGATAAGATAAATACTTGGTATTATGCGTGGAACAGTGTTATTTACCAAGACATCTGGCACAATTATCTAAATGCTAAGTTGAAAAAGAGAATACATTCAAATCGATGTGTTGTTTTGTCCACAGAAGACGTAAGGAGGTAATGGAGGTTAGCAGCGAGCCGTGGCGTGCGTATTACTCAAGCGGTGCTGAACATCCTCTCAGCGCAGCCACCTCAGCTGTATTGGATGTAGCGGATGAGCAAACACAGCCACTCGAATACTATCGCTTGCCGCCACTGGCCCAGGATACACATCTTAATCTACACAAGGATGCGAAACTCGTTGACGTTTGGCAGTAAGTATGGATGGTAGGGCGTCCGACTAATGGTATCCCAGATAGATATAGAGCTGCTTTACCTATTGCATATGATTTGGACAATATCATTCTCTATTATTATTCGTAGTTAATATAAATAAGATGTTTACAGTATTTCTTGATGATTATAATTATTCCGTTATGAATTTATGATTTCAAAGGATAATTTTATATGAAACACATAATTCGAATACGCAAATCAAACCTTTAAAATAGAGAATATATATAAAAATATTGGCAACAATCAAGGTAAATAGCAGAACGAACGCGGAAAAATCGATATTCGATTCTCACGGCCATAGATCAAATCGATCGTTCGTGTATCGGACCAATTATCATTATAATCGCCGAATTTTGAGGCGCGGTGAATACAGAATGAATTCGCGTAAAATTTATATGTAAACTATAATCATATACAATTTTTTTGTTTGGCACTTTTTGTGGATGTAATGTTGACTGGGTTGTATGTGTTCGCCGAGTCTCACGGACGACTACACAAAGATAAGACGCCGCGTGGCTTCCGGCCCTAAGGAAAGGTGTAAGAATAACAAATAATAAAAATGTTAATGTTCCACTCAATAAATCATAGGCGCTCATTTGAATACCTATGGCGGGATTAACAGTAGAGTTCGCAACTGCGCGAATCCCTCGCGCGCTACCTGCTTTTACATTTGAATATTATCATATTATTGTTTCTTATTTGATAATTTATATGTTTTCTGTTTTTTACTAGTCAATGAAATTCTTAAGCTATTTTATTTTACCGCTAAGGAGTATCAAATAAAAATGAAATGAACGTAGGCATGCCTATTAATTGATTAGATAATATGAGATGTAACCTGTAATATTCAACATTACTTAATATTTGTTAAATTTCACATAAATTTTCAATTTTTATATGCCGTTGCTTTTAATTTACATTAAAATGAATTCTATAATGAGAAAAAAAGAGTGAGTTCTTCTTATTCCCATAGAAACGCGACCCCGATCAAATTATGCTCGCTCTTTCAAATAGGTTGTTAACAGCATCCTTGAATGGCGGCGTAGAAATGAGCAAACGTTGTGTGACATTTACTATACAAGTAGTGCATAATGTTAACTTGACCCTATACAAACCATTTAAATTTTAACGAGTTTTATTATATCCCATAAACACTGTTCTAAATAGAAGAAGCCGTTTCAAATCCATGAAAATGGTAATTTTATGAATGGATATAATTTTTTTAATACTTTTCTAAGAGTGTGCATATTTAAATAACGTTCATAATAGAAATGTAGCGAAAAGTGGGCGCTGCGTGTGTGTGACGTTGGAGTGGTAAATAAAGTCCTCCTACGCGTGGTACCGCACACGTCGCTACCAGCTCCCCAGCAGTGCCAGCAGGCGTCCCGGAATGTGAGAGACGATGCGTTTTCGGTTCGTCATCCTCGTCACTGCTCGCGGGAGTGCATAAATACAAATAATGACAATAGACGGATGTGGTGGAAGCGGCTCACATTGACAAGGACGCCCAGGACTTGTCTCATTGTCGGCACGCGGCCCACGCGGCCGTCGCGCGCCGCTATTGCCCATTCATACATTCAAAATTATAACGAACACTCGACTCGCCCGCACCCATCGAGCGCTATGTCTCCAAATGCGTTTGTATGCTAATCGTTCGGTGCCAGTGCATCGTCAGGTTTGGGGCACTGTATTTGTTGTCTAAATCGCTCGTATTATTTGAATTGAATGCCCGATAGATATAGAAATGAACTAGTTCCGACTATATAGGCTCATTTCAGATCTATGGTAGGCGTTCGATGTTTCGTAAACGCATTGCGTGGTGCACAGGCGTTGCGCCTCCTCTAGGATTGCGGATGTTACTAGTATTAAATGGAAATACTAGCTATAATCATTAATAGTCGTCGGAGGCTGTCGAATGCGAACGTTGATATTAGCATAGAAACGAGCAGCGGGGAGTCTCCGGGAGGGCCTCGCCCTTTTGACCCTGTCACTATTCGCACTTGCAACACTAACGGGAAAACAGTTTCTCCATACCAGCTATCACGCACAGTACTAATATAGAAAGTCCTTTATTTTATAATACAATCAATAGTAATTACAACAATTCAATTTATACCATTTATACTTAGTGTTTTAGAATACACACTCTTAAAATTTGCATTGTTGCAAATAAATGATTTGATTTGAATAATATTAATTTATATACTTGAAGCAAAATATGACTTTAAAAAAAAATGAAAACTAATTTATTTAGCAAAGATTTCGATGTCGCGGTAACTGAACAAAGACTTCGGGAGTTGGAACCGTGTGACCCATTTAGGACCAGAACCGGTTTCCTCTTGAAGACACGTCTTATTGTGAATGGCACAGCAGTTAATGCCATTCAATTCACTTGAAAACACCCTACCTTTTTACGAAGATAATAAATAAAAAACATAGAAGCATCGTTACGTCCCCGAGGGCAGTGGTCATCTCGTAAGGAACTATAAAATCAGGACTTGAGCATTACTTATATCCTTTCGCATGCGAATATTTTTTAAACGGTCGTCCAACGAACCACGTAAATGCGAATTATTATTGACCATCTGGCAACTATTATATATTCAAAACTCACAAAATTTAAACATAATTATTGAGCTAGAGGAAAATTTTTAAATGGGAATTAATTGGTAAAGATATCGAGTGCACGTAATCAAGCATTCATTTTAATGACATAGACAAATGGCGAAATCTTTTTCAATTAAAGTTTTCGATAATGTATTAGTTCCGTGAGAAAAGTAGCAATAAACCTACATTTAGCTGAATGATATATTCAAATAGAATGGAATTACATTGGTCGCATCCGCTACACTCCTCCCTCGGCTCATTGGACTGCCGATAGATTCTAATCTACTCGTCAAACGATGGTAAAACTGTCGTCACCTCCGATTTTTATTGAGATAATATTAACTATGAATGCTTGTTAATCTATTGAAGTTTCTTGAAATCAAAAAAATACAATTTACCTACATACCTATTGGAAATAAACAGATTAAGAAATTTATGTCATAATATATATGTTAAAGAAATTACATAGTATTATAATATCTGTGATATGTCTAAAATGTTATTTAATTTAGTTATATATATTCCATTAATAATAAAATGGATGGTGCGATATTTTTTCTGAGATTTTTGATTATTGATAACAGATTAAATCGAACATAGCGATTTTATTAATCTCATTGTGATTCATAGGATATATTTCATCAAATGTTCGAGTAGGTAGACGCGAGGGCATCGTGCGTGCACCCTAAATGTCGTATTGTTGAGATCTCGTCATGTGTGAAAGGGTGTTAAGTAAACATTGCAAATAATTATAATAGTAAAAAATAGAAATCGCATCCGACTCCAAACTGATTCTGAATAGATAAGGAATTTTATATTTGCATGTAAAATGTAGCGCGGAGTTGTTAGATAAGGTGCTTATTCACGTCCTTTATTACTAGCAACTGTTATGTTAATATGGTTGCAACATGACACTGATATCAGATTGAGAGTTTGGGAATATAATCTTGGTTAGCTACCTGTATATTTTTAATCTTTGTCGTGATAAAATGAGAATTTATTTATTTCTGTCGGCATACCTATACCCTTGGTACATGTGACCTGGATACATGCATTTACATCTGTATGTCTATTTTCTACGCTGCATAATAAATTTATACTGTTTACGTCCGTTTTAAAGTTCATTTCTGTGTCTATAGCTAATTCTAACGGTGGCATATACCCTAATTCAATCTTTTCAATCTTTTTCTTATACCCTAATTCAATCTTTTTAACATTTTGCTAAATAGCACTGTTATCATTTATAGGATACGGACTACACCAACTGTACACCATTATAATTCACTATAAGAAAACATTTTCGTTGAGCAATTGAGGTGGCTACAAGGCCGCAGATTCAGCTGTCAGATCGGGCGCTTTGCATAGCGTTTTTAAAGGCGCCAACAATAAGCAACAAGCAAACAGCATTGTGCGCGCAAACATGAATAACGATGCCGAGTATCGCCGTCGGCAACGGGAGCTCGGATTATCAGACTCAATTTGCATGATTAAAAAAAAAGTGATCGAACCCTTCAAACATCCTATATTGTCAACGCTGAAGTCCTGTCAGCGATACCCTTCGAATATAGAATCTTTATCTTATCGAATTAACTGATTTCACACTCGCAATGTTCATTACAAATCGTACGCATACATAAATTGTGCGGAATGAACGGAGCGAGAATTGCAATCGGACACGGGCGTCGGTGCGTCCTGTGCGGGAGGTCGCGCGTCCAACCAATTCGGTCGCATGAAATAGTGCCGCAAGTCTCGCTTATCTAAAATAAACATCTGAGTGCCAATGAAACATGTCTTCAATTATCATAAATCGGCGAGCACTGACATCGGCCGACAAAAACCGCGCCCCTCGCCTCTTGCGGAGGTGGGTGCATTCACATGCAAACAAATAACGCGGCCAGCATGTGCCCACACCTTAACACGTGAAACGCCTTCACTAATTCAGACAAATGCATAAATACTGAAAGATGTCTTGGAACATAATTACATTTACAAAATAACAATGTACCAAAGTATATACGCGCAACAAATCATTTCTATTGCAGTAAGTTTTTATACGAATGAATAAGCTATTTTTTTTAAAGCCTCATTTATTGGTTTTCATACATTCATTTATATATCCAAATATAGCTTTGTTATGGTTAGTTTATTTAAATAATAAGTAAATAAGCATAGTGAAAATTGCAGAAGTGTTTGTTTAATGTTTCATATTAAAAAATGTTTTTATTTGTTCAAAACTAATTGTTACGAGGAATTGTAATTTTAAACTGCTTAACTTTACAAACCATAAATTTCTATATTTTTTTCCTCAAGTTAAATTTTTTTTAAGGAAATGTCGTTTGTAACGCGGTTACGTCTTGTGCTTTCACATTAACTTCAAGGTGTGTTCTTACCGAACCAATTTATCAAACATTGGTTGGAGTAATGTTATTGTAATACAGATAAATGATGTACATAGTTTTATTTAACCCAAGTAGGTATTCATGAGGGTGTCATATTATTAAAGTTACATTTATTTTAAGGTTTCAATAGGAATCAATTAACTTAGCTTCATAACAGTCGTTTATACTAGTTTAAAGCCTTTGACATTAGCGATTTTACCGATACAAATTTCTAGAACATTAATCAGAGCTTAAAGTTGTCATTAAATTTTAATGGAGTAGAAACTAGGTGAAAATTCATATAGGTTACAAAATATAGGTAAAAATAAGACTACAATTTTATAAAAACAAAAAATGTTAATTAAATTGGAAAATTGAGCAATTTACTATATGATTTATTAGTTCACCATTTTTTTGTGTTATAATAATAAGATTCTTAAATGGATCGGATCTACACAGTATAGTTGTGTAACTATCAGATTAATACAAACAAATTTATCTAATGAATATATAACTTAACTATAAAGTTCGAGAAAAGCTTACCACTTTGGAATCAGAAAAAATACAACTAATGAAAGGTAATACTTAATGTAGTGATTATAAAATAAAGCTTCCTAATTTAGAGAAAGCAATTCATTTTACTTCGTCTAACAGCTAGTTGCACAAATGTTCATTAAAATGGTCATCCGTTTAAAGCGACATTACCAGTACAAATTTGACATTCATTAGAACTTAAAGGCACCATGAAACCATAATGGACGTTTGTGCAATTAACCGTCAGTCGTATAAAAATAAATAGATTTTTATTTTTATACGACTATACTAATATACGTTTTATTTAAAGCATAATGCTCTAAATGCGACAGTTTATATTGTTTTTTATACCTAGTAGATAAGATAATTGATAGTTAGCTATTTCTGTCTGTAGAAGTTAAGCAACTTTTTTAAGGGTCGGCCATAGGAGTGGTGGCTAGAATTGTATCACCCCGAGTGATAGTGCCGATTTTTAGAAGGCATACCGTTGATACCGATTGCATCTGTAGTCGTTAATATCAAACAATGCTCATTGGGCCTACGGGCTGTGCTCTATTCTCCCTATTAGGTTAGATTCCACCCATAGGAAAGGCAAGATCAGCAAAATGCCAATTTTCTTAAGACTTTTTTTATATTATGGCACAACAATGTGACTGCAAATCACCTGATGGAAAACTTGCTATACATAATCCAATAACGGTAATAGCTCCCCGAAGTCTATTTCTAGTAGTTATCTTGCCCCTCCACATTTCTTGTACTACAACTAAAGATTATTCTCATCTTTTTATCCCATCTAACTTTTACCTTTACGACGACAATTAACTCTTTAAAATATTTTTCTAAGGGTGATATATAGTATAAGGCGATCAGCCTGATCAAAAACCAAGATCGACTTTTCAATGATAAATCTGTGAGGGATCGACGAATTTCTAGAAGTTTAAATTGAAACAGTATAGATTTTATTACATAGTATTTTTTTGAAAGGAAAAACATAAAATTTGGCTGTTAGTAACTTGTTAGTTAAGAACTACTCATTTGTCTTTGATGCTTACATTTATTATTGCTCATATTAATTTTATCGGTGTAAAGAATGGCAAATTGGAATTTTCCGCTAGTTTGGAAAATCTGGTT